ACGTACAGACAGAGTAACACGGGTGGCTTTCAAATAAAGCAGCCACACACATTATTTTTGCCTCCTTCCTACACAATTCCATGGCTTTTTCCATACTCTCCCGTGCATACATCCTCTGAGCATTATTAATAGCTACCAAAGAATATTATCTGCCTACCAATCACTTCAGCTTCCTACTTAATGGCAAGCACATTTTTAGAGCATCAAATATATCAACGGGGACAATGGTTGCTAAATTTGAAGTCAACAACAACTGGAAAACGCTCGCTGCTTCACTGATATTTTTATGCGCTACAGAAATATCTCTTGAAATAAATGAGCCCCCCTTTTTTTTTTTTTACCCTTTCAAAGAGATAATAAAATAATGCTGAATTCTAAATACTGTCACATATCCTTAGCAAACAGAAATTTAAATTTAGATCTATACATTTTTGCTGCCAAAGGTAATGAGCAAAAATATCCACAGGGCAACTCTGCAGAGAGGATCAGGGATTTTGGAGTTGTAGCTGGATGGCGGCGGCAGCAGCACGATGGATAAAGAGTCTCCAGTACATGGAAGCTCTTGGGAAAGGGGTTAAGGCAAAGAAACTCTCAGGAACGCTTACCCCTGCATCTCTCTCTGGCTGCTACACTAACCTTAAAGATTTCCGAAATACTCCATTAGTGTACTAACCATGCTCCATAAACTTTTACGCCCAAGACGTTCGATATTTCAGTGTAATTTAAATTAATGGAAATTGAACATTAGGATGGGTATCAAGTTAAGCATGATGATTTTTTTCTTCCTGTCCGTGTGCCAGAGCAGCTCCATCCTGAAGGTCCCGGGAAGACCAGATGGGAATGTGTGGGAACACCGCTTGGGAAGGAGCAGCGGGAGCCACGCCACGCTCCTGGTATCAGTGGGATGTGGGCAGGTCCTGGAGCTTTGCACCGTGCCCCAACCTTCAGGACCCTGTCCTGCAATGGGCAGCAAGGAAATCCCCTAAATGCCATGCTGCACGCGTACCCCATGGCCACACGCCCCTATTTCTGGGAGAAAACTTCCCGAGCCAGTCCTCAGGACCCATGCACAGCCAGCTGGGTTTTGGGAGATGCCTACAGAAGGCACATCAGCATGCGACAAGAGCATGGGACACATTCCTGGTTTATTAGGAGAAATTTAAGGACGACCAAGTTATAAATGCCTGCTCGGGTACACCCAGCTGCACAGACATCAGGAGAAAGAGGAAACAAAATCGGTATGTTTTAGAAATCTCTGGCATTGACCTTAAAGAAAGCAGATATGGTGACTGAACGTTTTATATAGCTCAGAGAACTGCATCTGCTGAAACTCAGGTGCTTGCTTTCCCGCTGTTTGCTTCATTTGCCCATCCACTGCTCTGGCAGGAGCCAGATTCGATAGGCTTCAGAGATGGAAACAAAGAGCAGGTACCGCTGGAAAGCACAAACACACGACGAAATCCTTACAGTTAGCATTTCCACTGTCATATTTTTATTCTGGTTTTCTGACAGTGCCATTCGTATGTGCTCCTGTGGTTTGAATTACAGACTTGGCTGCCCCAATGCCTGCCAGCGTGAGACCCCTGGTATCACCAATGCACACGTGAATGTTCATCTGCCCTGGACTCTGCATCCCATTTACGCAGTAGGGAGAGTTTTCCTGGCAGGCTGAAGGAAAAAAAAAAAAAAAAAAAAAAAAAGGAGATATATATATATAGCAGCAGCTGTTCAAAGACTTCAGGAGGCTTGGCATCTGCCCGTGTGCCCAGCAGAGGTGCCGAAACGAGACCGCTCGTTTATCACGTGGGCACGCAGGGAAGCTGCCACGGAGCACAGCCTATACGCAGCTCCTCCAAACCGAGGAGTTCCTGAACAAACACCACCTGAAGCTGCTGAAACGATGAATCTTCCTGGCAGACCCTGGTCCTTCTGTGGGATAATTCAGCTGCGTGGGCACGCAAAGCCCAGCAGCAGCCTGTGTGTGTGTGCAGCAGGAGAAGTCTTTGAGTCAACAAAAACAAGGGCCCGTCGTACGTGCCAGGGGTGCAGCCTGGCAGGGCTCACCTCCCGCAGAGAGGGCTCCTCGTGGTGCCACAGCACCTGCCCTTCCAGCAAAGGACCACTTCGAGCATTTAACAAGGAAAAGGAGGGAAAAAAAAGCTATACCCTCCTTTTGAGCAAGTGCATGCGTTTTTATTGCCCTTTCCCTTTCCTAGCTTGCCCCAGGAGTTATTACACCACTAAGAGCATGGACTTGATGTGAATTTGCCCGCCCTCAGCACCCAGACACCAGTCTGGTTCCGACTTACGGGGCAGTTCATGTCCCCTAGGATAAAACCCACCGTCCTCACAGCCACCCGAGCTCCCTTTCCCACGTACTCGAAGCACTGAGCAGTCTTTGAATTATCCTCCCAGCTCGGAGCTATGCTTTCCATGGGCGTGCGGTGGGGATGCGGCCCCAAGGGATGCCCGGTTCCCTGAGCCCCCTACTCCATGCTGAGCCCCACAGAGCTGCCCCCGGCCCCAGCACAGGGAATCTGGGGGGAATCAGGGCCCGGGAAATCCCATCTCCAACTCCGGGCTGCGTGTCCCGCTGCCGGGGAGCTCCTGGGGGCTGCTGCCACCTAGAGCTGCTCGCACGGCACGGCTGCGGGCACGCCGCCCCGCGCACCCCACGGCACCCCACGGCACCCTATTACAAAGTTTGGCCACCCATACAAGCGGCTCTGTGTCACCAACAGTGACTTTTGGGGGAATTTTTCCATAAACCCATTGAACACATGCATGCTGCCAAACAGGTTGTGCTTTCTAGGCGCAACTGAGCTTGCTGTGGTTTGCTTAGATTTACTCGACTAAAAAATAATGGCAATTCTAGCATCCCCTAAAAACTAGAAGGGGAGCACTGCTTCTGAGCAGAGACAGGGCTTCTCCCTTTGCCAGCTGCTACTGCCAAGTCTCATTCTGCTCACTCGTAGGCATGTATTTCAGGTCCTTATTACTGTTTTCATGTTAATTACCAGCACGGCTCTTAGTGCCAGCATCCGTACACATATACATCAATTACCGTCTCCTTAAAAAGAAAAGAAAAAAAAGTCACGAGGAGGTCAGCGGGGCACTATGCGGTGCCGGCGAGGCGGGCGCACGCGGGCAGGCTGCACGGCTGCCGGTTGTGTCCCCAGTCCCTGGGGATGCCCCAAACAGTGGGGCCGGACCCGATGTCCTGCGGTGAGCGGCACTGGCCGGCAGCACCCTCGGGGGACACCTGGGGATAGTGACAGCTTGGCCTGGCCACCACGCAGGGACCCCCAGAGCGGGGACCCCCAAGCATGACGCAGGGTCCCCACAGCGTCCCGCGGGACGTCCCCTGTGCAGGGACCGAGTCAGCCGGTGGCAGTGTCGGGCAGGAGCTCCCGGTCAGTGCTTATCGTGCCTCCGCAAAGGCACTCGGAGCTCAGCCTAATTTTAACCTCCGGACAGACATCGTGGCGGACGGGGCGGGAGGGGTGCCAGGAGGGCGGCTGCACCTCGCCGAGGGCACACGCGAGGAGCAGCGGCTCCAAATTAAAGCCTGCACACGCACCAGCCCGACCATGGGCTGAGGGGAGAGAGGGGGGAAAAATAAAATAAAATAAAATAGTGCGCTGCCAAAATATTTGAAGTACAATTAATTTCTCAGAGCAGTTGAATACTTCAAACGGCGCTAAGTTAATTTGGCTGTAATTATTTAACGACTCAACAGCCCCATATATCAGAAAAAGGAGTTAATTTATCAGCTATTTCCACGCAGAACAAAGACTCGCCAGCTTCCAGGTAACAGCCCAAGCTGTTTGGCTCACGTGACCCCGAGCTGTGCGCTGCAAACATTATATGCCCAAGCACGGAGAGAGCAGAAATTGGAAAAAAAAAAACATGTATTCACGCCTTGGCCAACAGACTTGGGAGAAGGAAATGAAAAGTTTGGGTGAGAGCAGTGGTCCTCATCTCCCTCGATGTGCTGAAAACGCAGGTGGCAGCCAGAGCCCCATCCTCGGGCCCCCGAAAGCCGATGGAGCCCAGATTTTTGGGGGGCTCCTAAACGCTCCCAGATCGAAGCTCACCTGTCCAGCCCACGCTGCTGTTTTGGCTAGCACCAAGCAGCATGAGCCAAGCCTTACAAGCCGCTGTCAGCCCGAGCAGCAGCCCTGAGCCCCTTGCCGTGCCGAGGGTCACGCCAGCCCTGGCATCCCTGCGGACGGGGCGGCTTTTTGCGTGGCGCAGGGACCGGAGGCTGTGCCGTGACCGGGATCCTGGCAGCCGAGCTCGCCCTGCTTGATGCTGTCTGCCTTTGGTGGGGTGTAAATCCAGCAGGGCTCGCTCGGAGCGGGAAGTCCTGGGAAAGGGGATGGGGAAAACGGGAGAGGGGCAAGGTAGCGGGTCAGGGGCTGAGGGAGGAAAGCCAGAGCGGGGCTCGGGGAAGCAGGCACGCAGCGCTCCTCCAGCCGGGGTTTCCCCATTTAACACCGCGGGGAAAAAAAAGAAAAAAAGAAAAGAAAAAAGAAAGAAAAAAAAAAAGAAAAACAGAGAAAAAGAGCAAGAGAAGAGGAAAGCAGCCTTCAGCCCCTGCCGATCTGAGGAATTGGGAAGCGATCGCGGGCAGGGAGGCGAGGGCCGGCCGCTTACATAAAGCCGAGCCCGGCGTGCGCCCTCAGCGCCCCGCGCCCGCCCGGCGGGCCGAAATTCCACAAACCCCCCCAAAACAACCATAATTTCCCCCAGATCCCCCCCCCAACCCCAACGACGGCCGGGACACCCCGCGGCACAGGGCGGACAGCGCGAACCGGGGGCCGAGCCGCGGGGTCCCCTCAGCGCGCTGCGCCCCCTCGGCTCGGGGCGAGCCCCCCCGGCCCTACAGCCCCCCGGAGCGGCACCCCACAGCCTGGCCGGGGGGGCTGGGAGCCTGGCTGCGCCGCTAAGTTTGGGAGCTCCCCTCCAGCCCCCGCAAACAGCCCGCAAACACCCACCTGCCTGCGCCGCAGCCGCCCGCGGAGCCCCGGCGGCCGCCGCCAGCACGCAGCAGCTCCACCACAGCAGCCCCCCGGCCGCCGCCGGCATCGCGCCGCCGCCTCCTCCTCCTCCTCCTCCTCCTCCTCCTTCCTCCTCCTCCTCCTCCTCCTCCTCCTTCAGCACCGCCTCAGCCTCAGCCTCGCCGCCATCCCCCGCGCAGCCTCCCCAAAAGTTGGCCCCGGCCCCTCCGCCGCCGCCGCCGCCGCCGCCGCCGCCCCCAGCGCCGCCCCTCCGCGGCCCGACGGGGCGGCCGCCGCTGCGGGACGCGCGGAGCGGAGCGCACCGAGAGCGCCGGCGGCAGCAGCAGCAGCAGCAGCAGCAGGAGGAGGAGGAGGAGGAGGACGGCGAGGAGGAGGAGGAAGGAGGAGGAGGAGGTAGAGAGGAGGAGGAGCGGCGGCGGCGGGACGGAGCTTTGGGGGGGGAGAGGGGGGGATCTGACATCCCCCCCCCCCCCCCTCCCCAAGGTGCCGGTGTGCAATAGGGGCGCCCCGGCTACCAGGGCTGGGAGGCGGCTCCGGGGTGAGGTGGGACTCGCCCTGCACCTGCTGTGCTCCCAGAGCACGGGCAACCCCTGTGGAGATGCTCGGAGCCCCCCCACGCTGGGCAGTTTCCCCCAGGCATTGCTGCCACCCTCCCTGCGCGGCCTCGGCGCCAGCCAAAGCCCGGCCTCGCACCCCGCAGCCAACCCCAGCGCTTTCCCCAACCTTGCGGCTGGAAAAAACCCGAGCGGGACCCCTCCGAGGAGCGGCTGCGGGGTGCTGGCAGCCCCCAGCCCCCCAGCACTTGCAGCTCAACCACGGTTTGGGGCAGCCCAGCCCGGAGCCAGCCTCTTGCCCTAACCCCGCTCGCCCTGGGCCGCATTGCTGGGGCTGCACGGTGCAGCTCGCACACCGACGGCTCCTTCCACAACGCCCCGGGTGCGTTAATGACTAATGCTCGCTATGCAAAGCTTGCCATGCCGAGCAATTACTGCGCTGCCCATCCTGACCTCATGTTTATTTATTGCAGGAGCTCCTTCTCTGAACCTCGCCTGGGCTCCCTCCCCGTACGCCTATTAGCGGGGGGCTTCCGAAAGCAGCCGGCTGAGAAATCGCAGCTCTACGGCGCGGCTCCGTTTGGTGGCCGGGGTGTCCTTAAGCCCCAAATATTCTCTCGCCACAGGAGTTTTCTCCGTGTGATTTAATATTGAGCAACAGTGGCATCCGGTGGGCAGCGGGCTGCCTCCCGAGCAGCTGGCAGCAGCACGCTCCCTCTGGTTCGTCGCACGCTTTCTCTAGGTGCTTATTAAATACAAGTTCCACTTTTATCCGAATTTCAAGGTCTTTCTCACCCAAAAGCTTACACGCTCCTGCCTGTCTGAAACATCTCCCCCCGCTCCACATAATTCCCTTTTATTGCACTCCTGTAGCTTTTGCTAATTGTTCATGGGATGACATTTTTTCCTAAAGTAATATTCTTGAGAGGTTAAATTAAAAAGGGGCCATAAATGATTTCAAAGACCAATGGTAATTAATAAAAATGAAGCAATAATTGGGCAAATAATTGGGCAATATCTTTAAACGTGTATGCCTAGGGTCCCGCTCCTAAATCCACATTTCATTTAGAGCAGCCTGGGATTTTTTTTTTCTCCCCTGAAGGAGGGCAGGACACAAAGAACTGGATGGGAAATAGTGTGGGCAGTGGGGAAACCTCCAAAAGTCCTGAGGGATTAGCGATGGGAGGGCAGGGAGCTTGCTGCTGCCCCCTTCCCATGCTGAGGTTTGGGGGGGGCTGGTGGACACCTCGCTCCTGGAAGGCAGCGCAGGGAACCCACAGAGCACCACCTGAGCCCCGTGGCACCCACAGGGAGCAGACGTTTAAGGGCAAGACGGTTACGCTGAAAAATAAAAATAGCAGCAATAAAAGTCTTTTGTGGCTCAGAGCATAAATCAGCCTTTTACTGCTTCCCCTTTTAGCGTGTTCAGCCACAGACATCTAGCTCAGGGGGGCTGCATCAGTTCGTCAGTACCTATAAGAGGTCAGAGCACCGCATCCCCAGTGCCACCCCGTGTCACTGCCCATGAGGAGGAGATTTACAGAGGGTGCCACGCTTTGGGAAGGAGAACACCGCAAAAACACACACCCTTCCCAACCCCCTGGCTTTGCACGTGCCCAAAGTGGCGCAGAGACACATCCCTGAGCCTTGCGGAAGGCACAAGGCAGCGAAACAAACACGTTGCACTGGGCCATGAGTTTGAGAGCGCAGAGCAGCTCCTGGAGATGTTTTGTGGAGTACAGCTGAGTGGTACTTGGGTCAGGGCATCATCTGCTCACCACCTGTTGCAATGTCAAGCGGCACAAAGAGGGCCACGCTGGTGAAAAATAGCACCAGCTCCAGAGGAGGAGGCAGGGTTCCTCTCCATCACGGGGCTGGAGGAGGACGTGTAAAGTCACAGCAGCAAATTGTTCAGCTGCAAGCATTGGAAAGAACTTGTGCCTTGCACAGCAGCATCCTGTGTCATCTAACAAAGCAGGCGTGTGGCAGCTGTGGGACAGAAACGCTCCTTGTCAGCCTCCTTCAACGAGGAGGGCTCAGCACCAGGCAGCACATGTGGGGCAGCGTGGGGCTGAAAGCGGGCAGCCTGGTGCAGACTACCAGACCCCCTTGAAGGAATGCAAGGCAGTTAATTATTGAGGGGTTTTAATAAGCGCAGGCCTTGTCCTTCACACACCAGGAAGCAGGACAATAAATTCAGGACCTACGCGCACATAACCCACATGAGCAGTGCCTTGAAGGCACATCGCCCTTGTGGATAACGGTGGCAAAAAAAAACAAAAAAAACAATAAAAAAAAACAAAGTGAGAAGCGTGGCACCCCCCTCCTGGGGGAGGAAAGAAGCTCCCCCACTTGGCTGTTGTCCCCAGAGCCCACACGTGCGCCTCGAGGACCCACAAAGGGAGCAGTGTGGGGTCAGCTGTGCTCGCAGGGCTTCGGAGATGATCTCACACCCCAAGGGGATGAGCAATACAGTAGCTGGTCGTCCCCAAACAATAGCTGCGGAGAAGAGGGAGAAGAAAAACTCCCCTAGAGCATGGGATGTATGCTGGGAACCTGAGACACGCCAGGCAGCTAGACCGTGGAAAAAATTATGCTAGTAGCATGAAATTTCAAAAGTAGTAGATAGCAAATACAACATGGGCTTAATAGCCATGTTTTCTGGAAGGACTCAGCTGAAGAAAGCATTTTAGGCCACGCTTGATTTTTAACGTTGTTTATATCACATTCACTGCAAAAGGATTCAAGTACACTCCTGGTTTAAGGAGACCCAAAACAGGTCTACGAGGTCCTCTCTGAGTTAGGGCAGCATGGTTTGGTTTTTTTTTTTCCCTCCTGCATGTGTAAGTCAGCTTGGGAGCCTGCTTTTACCAGGGCCTCGCTTACACCTCACAGCTCCTCTCTGCTTCTCACCTCCTTAAGAGATGCTGGCATTTTTTTTATCCCTGTCCACATACAGAAAGTTGTGCTGGGGTTTTCCTCACACCAGGATCAAACGCAGTATCCTCTTATCTAGACTGCTCACGCATCCTCCTCTCCCACCCCTCCCTTGCCTGCTTCTTGAGCTTGATGGTGAGCCTGTGTTACTCACAGCCCTGCCAACTCCTTGCCCTTGCAGCCCAATGATTCCCTGCCATACTTCATGTCTTTTTCTTTTTTTTAAAAAAAAAAAAAAATACAGCATCTGTATTTTTTTTTTGAAAAGAAAAGCATTTTTTGTTCTTCAGAGTGCAGTATAGGCAATACAGAGGTCACCTACTTGACAACAGCAGAGCTTCTCCTTGCTCACTAGTTGGTGGATTGTACTTCAGTCCGGTCCCAACACATCACTTTTGAAGTGATACATCACAAGCATGTCAACATACTAACAGCATCTGTATTTGCTCAGGGGGGCCTCAATTTTGCAAGGCAACCAAAGCCAACACAAGCTGCAAGTCAGCGTTTTGCAAGCCTGCTGCTCTCCACTGACAGGAGCTGGGCTGAGATTCCTCCTCTGGGGTCAAAGCACCCACTTTCTCAGTACATTCAGTGTTGCACCTTGATCATATTAAAGGAGGGAATGACACCTAAAGGATACTCGCCAATTCCCCAACGCACATTTGAAGCTCCCAGTCACTTATTTATGAAGCGTTCCGATGTTTTTTCCCCCCCATACAAAGTTTTCCTATGAAAAATTCATCTATACAGCACAGAACATGTCTATAAATAATAGACACTCCAGCTCACCGGCATCTTTACGTTTCTACAGACAAGGTGAGCTCCACTTAGAGCACCGTAGAGGAAATTAACAACAGGGCATTATCAGCACAGGTTGCTGGTTGGGCACGATGTGCCGGGTGGTACCATTTGCCCAACAAATATGCTTGCTACAGCAATCCCACAAAGAGTTCTCCATTGTGCTTGAGGACAAGGGTGCTGCCAGGACCTCGGCAGCTGTATTGGCTCAGCATACCTACAGATGTCATCCTCATCGTCAAAAACCAGCTGCCAAAAACACTTCTTTCAAGTTTGGCCATAAAGCTGCCCAGGATGAGGCGTTTGGTGGCTTCCAGGGGACCATCCCATTTGCTTATAGCAAGGCTGAGTTTAATTGCGGCAAAGAAGAGCTACCTTGACCAGCCCCATCCTTCTGGGCTGTTGTTCCAAGCAGTCCTATCAAGTCCTAATTTTTCACATCATGAACCTGCTGAACACAGTCAGCAGCAGTCCAACACCCAGCGACTTCGCCAACAACCCTGGGGAGGACCACAAAACGGGCTTATAGGTTTGCCATGGATGGTGCCATCGCTTGTCCTCGAAGGGTGGCCAAGCCAGAGGCAACGCGGCCGGGCTGACTTACGCCGAGGCAAACGGGCAGTGAAGCCCGGCAGCAGCCTCGAGGTGCTGCTTAGCAGGCGGCTCACATGCGGGGTGCTTGCTCATGCAGAGCACCTCCACCGGCATCTTCCCGTCGCCCGAGCCCACCAGGAACCGCAGCACAAAGCCGAGGGGGATTTCGGCACGCCGCTGCCAAGGCCGTGGCAAAGCTTCCGCTGGCAGTCCAGGAGCAGGCACGAGGCCAGTGGGGCTCCTTGTCTGCAGGCAGCCGTGCAAATCCCCTCCCGAATTTCTTTAATTTCTTTTTTTCCTGGAATCCAGCCATTTGAGAGGTGAATGCTCTCTTCTTGCACTGCCTTTTTTTTTTTTTTTTTTTGAGGGCACTAGAAAAACAAAAGTTTTAGCAAACACTATGTACTACTTTTTATTATTATTATTTCACATCCTCTGCTGCTTGTCTGCTCATTTAGCAAGAAAAAAATAAAGAAGTGTGCTACTTCAGGCTATGCCAAATGTCCCACCATCCTGACAACACCCAACAGAACAGACTTGGAACAAGCCATTACCAGCATTAGTCCTGCTGCAGTTTGGGCCTCATCCTGTGCACAGAGATCCTGGCACATCCCTTAGAGAGATGCTGCTTTGTGCCTTATCCCTGACAAAGAGGAGAGGGAGGCGTACGACCATGGGTAATTCCAGCATCTTTTTTGCACTGACGAGGGTACCTGGTGTTCTAGCAGGAACTTGCCAGCTACATTCTCATAAGGTAATGGATGGTCTGGTAACAAACCTTCCCGTGCTCACATGAAGAGGAAGCCTGTCATTTAGCCTTTTTTTTTTTTTTAAACAAAAAAAACCCACACACAACCTGAAAAACTGACTACAGCAAAGCCAGCTGTGTGCATATTGCATTGGCAATGGAAAGCGGACGTTGGATTGACTGGTGGAGATGGTTTTCCAGCTCACATCATCTCTGACTTACTGTAGCCCCACTGAGATTGCCTCTAGCCACAGCAATGGACTCAGACCAAAGCAAATGAGCGATATCCTCCCCAGGACAAAGAGGTGCTGCACATTTACCAACTATTTTATTATAATGCAGAGCCTATCACCTTTCTCCACGACTTTTCAGCTTAGAAATTTAACACTAGTAACAGCAGTTTATTTCATCTCAATAGACAGACAACACGTGAGCCAGATTCAGAAGATTACACTTTTTCCTTTTTAAAACACAATTAGCAATGCCATCATTGGAAAATTGCCCAACGAAAAAAACAACCAACCAAAAAAAAACCACCCAGATTTAGAATAAAACTCCCAAACTTGTTATGTTTCAACTCACCAAACCCTCCAGCCCAAACAATGTGCTCCATGCCACACTTTTCGCCAGGCAATAAAAAGGGGTGTTAAAATACTTAATAAATCATCCAAGGCAGTTGTGTTGCAGGCTGCATCTTAGAGCAAAGCGAGACCTCACAATGCGCCAGTACCACCCTCCTCATTTCCTAATCA